AAAAAAATCACCAAAATATGATTGCCTGAGTGAAGAGGGAGTGTTGTTGCCGCTGGAGAAAGTGAGAGGGCATTGAGAGAAGAGAGAGTGTTGTACTGTTGTCACTAGAGAAGGTGAGGAGGCGTTGAGAGAAGAAGAAGCTCTGTTGTTGGAGAAAGTGAGAGGGTAAAAGGAAGATCGCCGGAGAAAGGGAAATACGGCTGGAGTTCGTCCAAAGCTTCAAACGAAATACCACCGTCCGCTGGTGAGACTGAGGATGGAGCGATGGAGGCGCAGAGGCGTTGAACCCTAGCCTTCCAGCTTCGACTCTTCGAAAGCTTCTATGCTTGACGCTTACAAAAATGAACGGACCATTCCAACTAGTGGCTTTGTCCACTTTCGGTCCATTCTATGAATGGACGATTTATGTTCGGACCGGTCCGCGTCCTTATCATTTTTTAGGACCGTCCGATCCGTCCATATTACTTCCGATTCGGACGGTGTCCAACCCGAAACCGGTCGCTTAACACCCTATGCCTCATACTGGCCTAACATTACGTTTCAGCCATGCGTTAGAAACATCTTCCCATGAATAAATATTTTCAAATGCGAAGATGTTTTAGATGCACGGCTAAACATACGGTGAGGTCGTCTGAGGCGCATTGTGAGGAGAAGATCCGAACTCGCACATCTTAGTGTGGAATCCATAAATTTATTACTGACGTGAAATATTATCATCGATTCTACAGCAAGTTGAGCAGCCATCAGCCATCACATTCAGTTGATCTGAATTAGCTCTGGAATATGTATTAAATCTTTCATGCATTTTTTTGGGTAAATTACAAAGACCCCCTTTAAGGGTTATTGATAAATATCCTTGAAATTTAATCCACTTTAGAACAATAATCCTCTTAAGTCAAATGATGGAATGCATTAAATTGTTAAAATGCACATATGATCATTTTTTATTTTCATTTCCTCACCCTCTCTTAAACCCTAATTGATCAAAAATAGGGTAAAAGACTTAAACATCCCTCCACTTTTATCCTAAATATTGAAACATTCCCCCTTTTTTATTAAAACAATATGGGAGTTATTTGTTAGAATGAGACATCATGTGGGAGTTATTTTTTTCCTAAAGCTCAATTCTGCCCATTATTGCCCATTGCTCTGTTCTCAGTGTGTCGTGTACCCAAAAATGTGATAGAGGTCTTCACTCCCTGTACCACCCAACAACTAATATCTCCATCCACAAACGACTGTCTCTCACCAGCAACATCATCACAGATCACACTATTTATTTTGGTATTGCCACTTTGCTCAATTGGATTGAGCCTTGGCTATTGGCCAGACATGATTGCATTTGGATTGATGATAGAATGGTTGCACAACACTATTTTGTGGGTTGCTTGGACTGATTTCTTAATCTTAGTACTTCATTTTGTGGACTATTTGGAATGTCAGAAATAGAGTAGTATTGCATGAGGATTCCCCTAATGCTACTCACACAATCCAGAGGGTTTCTATGTCAGTGATTGAATCATTACCCAAAATAAATAAATAAGTTTGTGGTTAAATCATCAACGGGTTAAACGTTCTAGGATTGAGAATTTGAATGATGGGCAAAAGGTTAAGAAGTGGGTTTGTACATCATACCGATATAACAATTAACTATGATGATTCAGTGAAGCTAGCTACAACTGCACGGGTGATTGTTGGTTGTTAGATGAAGTTTTTGGAAGTTGGGGTGCATCCTGTTCCTATTGCTGATGTGGAAGTAGTTGAGGCATATAGAGTGTATAAAACTCTTCAAGGTGTGTGGAAGTTTGAGGATAAGTGCATTCTAATGAGTAGCAAAAATTCTATTGTTATCAGGTTTCATATAGAACAAGCTCGAACATTCATATTATGGTCGAATTGCCTTTTTTTTTTTTTGTTATTCTAAATCTCTTATCAGTTCTTTAGTATTTCGCTATTTTTATGCAGCCATCCCTTCATCATATTAGTTGTGATACAAATAAATTGAGTCATATGTTGGCCTTAGTTAGAGAGTCAAATTTTTGTCTTGAATAGGTTTTAGTCCCTCTTGATATAATTTACTTTGGGTTTAATGCATAATTTTATCCTTCTAGAGAGGAAATCCTTTATTTCCCAGTTTGGGTGGTTTTCTTAAACTTAAAAAGCAATAAAGGATAAAAGAGTCTTTTTCTTATTTTTCTGTCAAATTTAATAGAATCTTATTTTGACAGAGGAGGTTTAAGTCCTATTAGAAATTATAAGGGAGGTACTAGTATTTATCTTAAACTCTAAGGAGGTTTAAGTCTATTACCCCCAAAAATACTACCATTTTCTCCAAACAAAACTGGTTAAAATAACAAGAATCATTTCATTGGCGCAGAAAAAAAAATTTGTTTAATTCTTGATTCATTTTACTGACCACTTCATTTGAACATTGAATCTAGCCAGAAATATGCAAGGATCTATTGGAGCAACTGTGAGAACTTCAATGTTATATTTAGAAAACTAATCAAATCATAAACCGTTCAAATAAATAAGAAAAGGGTAGTTTGGAGATTAAAAGAATTTAAACAAGTGAATATATTTAATCAATTTAAACAACTGAATTTGAACATTAAAACAATGCCATCCACAAACAACATGCACCATAGAGCTTCTTCCTAAATATATTTAGTCAATTCATCTATGATCTGTGCAAATAGATAAGGGCTCGGTGTTAAACCTTGGTATGAAGACCCATCATAACTATAAAACCTGAAATCTCTCCCATCAATGTTCTAGCATTGGTTGGTGTCCCCTCATATATATATATCCTTAATTAGGTTTATATACTTATTTTAAACTCCGCTTTTTTTTTCAAGACCCACCATATTACCTCTCTAGGAACTCTATCACAAGTCTTTTCTAAATCAATGAACATTGTATGGAGATCTTTCTTTTTCTTTCTGAATTTTCCTATCAATTGTCTCAAAAGAAATATATTTTCCATGGTTGATCTCCCTAATATAAAACCATAATGGTTTTCTAATACACTTGTTTCAAGTCATAATCTTTGTTTAATTATTTTCTCCCAAAAATTTCATAGTATGGCTCATGAGTTTAATCCTTCAGTAGTTATTACAACTTTGTACATCATCTTTATTTTTAAATATAGGCACCATACTACTATTTCTCCAATCATCAAACATCCTTTACTATCTTACTAAATAGCCTAGTTAGTCATAACAACCTACTTCTCCCATAATTTTCCATACTTCTGATGGAATTCCATTAGGTCCTAATGATATTTTTCTTATTCATCTTATTTAGTGTAGGTATGCATTATTTTTAACATGAATAGCATTAGTTCTCCTTCATTAACACTCTCTTTATTGTTCATTTAATAATTTTTAAAAATAGTTTTCCATATTATTTGATTTTCACATGTTTTATCAGGACTTTGATTTTCAATTATGTAGCTGACATAGTTTAAAGCCCTTTCATTTCTCTCAACTTTGCTAGTGTATACTTTCTTTTTTCTCCCTTTCTAATGCCTAATTTTTGGCAAAGCTCATCATAAGCCTCAAATTTACCTTTATTCACATTCTTTTTAACTTCCTTTCTTATGGCTTTATATTTTTCCTTTTTTTACATGTTTAGCCTTTTGACATTCTTTGTAACATGCTTCTTTTAATCTGATTATATTTTGAATCTCCTCATTTCACTATCAAGTTTTTTTATTACTTTTCATTTTCCTTTAAATTCTCCTAAAACCTCTTTTTCTACTTTCTATATGTTGTTTGCTATTTCAAGCCAAAAATCGTTAATCTTTCCATCTAAATTCCAATTTCCTTCTATTATCAACTTGTTTCTAAATTGAGCTAGGTTTTTTCCTTCTAGTTTTTTCTACCTATTTCATAGATATCTATTTTCTTCCTTATTTTCCTGATGTGTACATTTACTACCACTAATCTATGTTATGTTATTAAGCTTTCACTTGGAATAACTTTGCAATCTTTACATATCATTCATTCTATTCTCCTAGTAAGGAAAAAATATTCATTTGATTTATGTTTGATTCACTTTTAAATGTTATTAAGTGTTCATCCTTCTTTTGGATAGGTATTTAAAATTGCCATATCATAAACTGCTATAAATGATATTGTACCTCTTGATTCATTCCTATCCCCAAATCCAAATCCTTCATATATCATATGATATTTTACATTTCTTTTCCCTACAAGCTTATTCAAGTTTCATCTTATAATAATTCTCTCTCCATTTGGAATTTTTTGGATTAATCATTCTAAGTTTTACTAAAATTATCTTTTAATGTTTCCTTCTAAATCCACTTAAGGTGCATAAACATTAATTATGTTAATGATTTCCTCACTTAAATTCTTTAGTTTTTTTACTCTTCTATTTGGTTTCTTGTAGGCATACAATATTAATCAATCCCCTCTTCAAAGTGTCTATTTATTCTATAGTTTTTCCTATTAATGCTTCTACATTAATTCCAAGTGGCTAAACGAAGTTGTATTTCTTGGATTTCTTCTTTACCTGTTCCCATCTAGAATGATGTGGGAACCCTTGCCTATTTAACATTACAGTCAGGTGTTGTCATGGCAGGTTACTTATGAAGACGACCCTAACAAATCCTTGTCCATTAAACACTACACTCAAGTTAGGGTGTGCAATGCGTCGTTTCTAGAGAACTCCTTAGCATGAACACAAAAGAACAAATCAGAATACATATTCATGAGTATCTAATAATCTATCATATGAATACAAAAATTTCATTATAATAATTTCCTCTTTTATTCAGGATTGGGACCGACAATGTAAGACAAACTCATACTAGTGGAGTTATCTAATAGTCTGTCATATAAACACAAAAATTATCAATCTAATGATAGTAAGAAACATTAAACTTTCCAAGCTAATAACATAGGGAAACTATCAATACACATACTTGTGGAAGAGAAAACAAACTTGAAATTTTTGGTTGAGAGTTGACAGTTGAGAAAGGCAATGGGGCGGTACAGTGGTGGTTAATCGACAGAAGAGGCTGGCAGAGTGAGCTATTGTGGAAGAGAAAACAAGCTTCAATTTGGTTTTCCAATGGAAGCAAAAGAGATGGCACAGCCCACATACTTGTTCCAGATCAACTAGAGAACTTGACGGAGGAGTGGGTTTATCAACAACGTTTTGGTGGCATAAAACAGTGGAGGAGACAGGAAGGTTCCTATTTTAACAGAGAACAAGAGAGTGTACTATGACTTCACAATGGTAAAAAATTAGGGTTTAGGGTAAAAATGTGATTCATCAAACCATAAAAACTAGGTTGGGTCACTGTCAGTAGTCCCCATACATGAGATAAATGTGGAGACAATAAATTGCTGTATAGACAATCCCTGTCCATGAGATATTGTGAATGGGACTGTTCATAATGAACCACATCACTCTCGTAGACCATACATCTTATGATTACCGCAATAACACAATTTATGCCTATCGTACAAGACAAATCAAAGTTCAAAATTTTGATACAATATCTGGCGTATCATATTAATTAAAGATTGAAATCTAATGCATCTTACTCGTGTTTTCCGGTCATCATTGACTTCGACAGTTGGACTGTTTAATCCAGAAATCATTTAGACAACCAGTTCCATTTCACCCTTAACCCAATTCTTAGTCAAAAACTATTGATTTAGTCAGCGACCCACTGACGAAAGCAGTTGAACCGTCAATCTATTTGACCCGTTCAACAGTTTTTATTTTTAAATTGGAACGGGACCATTCATTTGAACCGAACAGTCAAACTGTCTAAAAACCGGTGGCCAAAACTGTTCTAATTACAGATCTTTTTTAAAACCTTGATCTTACTATCATCGATATACAATACTGTTCAATGAAAGCCTGAAACTGCTGGATTGTTCATCAGCCTTGCAAATATGTATAATAAATTCACCTGAGAAGTTAGAATCGCGACCCTCATCTAAATGGGGTCCCTCCACTCGCTGAAATCATTATTTTTATATCTGAAAGCGTATAGGATCCATTTTTATGAATGAGATATGGAATCATTTATGTTCTTATGTTCGTAGCTCTAACTCCCTTCCCCTCACATCCTACTGCGACCTTTCTAAATCTACCAAAATTTTAAATTTTAAACAGCATCCATATATTCTGGGTTCTCTCTCGTCAACGAAGGTTATGCTTCAAGCGATTACGTGGGTAGACTGTCGACAGCTACATTATAACAGCCTTTAATAGTTACCGGAGGTTCAGAGGTCCTCAAGATGCGTAGATAGTTGAGACTTGAGATAGTTTCTGGTTCCTCTCTCAAGGAGGCAAAGCAAGAATGAGAAAGAGTAAGAGCTTCTAACCTTCAATAAACTATAAGGGGGTGTTCTTTTTTTTGTATTTTGAAAGGGGGAAAGTTGGTCAATGGGATTTTAGTTCCCATTGACTAAGAATCTCATATTCTTTTTTTCAGATTTATGTGGGGACTAGGGAAAGTTTATTTTCCTAAGTATCACTTACCCTCCTAGGTGGGTAAATAACCTTCCCACCTAGGGGGAAGTTGCTAACACTTAAATAAGACAAAAATACCCCTTTTAATAATAAATTTTTATGGTTAAAATGGTCATTACCTTATTTAAATGAGAAATTAAAGAAATGAGTAAATGCACTTACCCGGGTAAGTGTTTCCCAGAAAAAACTTATCTACATAACTACCTTACCCAACTAACCAAAAGTTAACAGGGCCTCAATATTTTTTGTTTTGTCTAAATTGTTAATTGCATTTACAATCAAGTTTAAATTTGGCAAGAATGTGCAGGCATACCTTTCTTGTTTATGTTTTGTAAAAAAGCAATTTGTGCATCAGGAGTTGGGATCTGATCCTCCCAAAGTGCTCCTCAGTCCGGAATATCTCTCATATTTGGATGTTATATTCATGGGAGATGTTACAGTAGGATGTGGCTGTGAGATCAGTGTGAGGAGTAAATCCCAAAAAATATCATTCCAGCCTTATTCCAACCATACAGGCTTAGCTGCACGAATCATGCCATTTCTGTTTAATGTCATAGCCATAGTTAAATTATTGATGCTTAAATCATTTCTTCCTACCATCAATGCCCTTTTTGGTCTACCTCTAGCCCTTCCAATCTCTTCAACTTGAAACAAATCATTTCTCACGGGTATTGTTAATGACCTTCTATCTGCATTTCCAAACCATCTTAATCTACTTCCTATCATTTTATAACCTATTAGAGCTGTTCTTAGGTTACTTTGATTACACTTCTGATCCTATACTTTTAGTTAAGGTTCAAAATATTGATACGTCTGATACGCTGGTAGGGGCGTATCGGGCAAATCGATACTATTTTTTCTATTTTTTTCTGAAACCGATTCAGGGGGGCAGTTTAGGGCTCCTCCACCCCTTGAACCGGTCAGACCCCCGATACACCCACTACAGGGGCATATCAGAGGGGTCCCGGAATGCTACGTATCGGCCAATATCAATACTTTGAACCTTACTTCCACTCATCTATCATTCGCACTTCTGCCAGTCATTTTTTTTACCACCCAACTCTACTCCATACAACATAGTTGGCCTTGCAACTATTTTATAGAAATTTCCTTTTGATCCAAATTATACTCATCTATCACATAATCTGAATACACCCTTACATTTTGCTCATCCTGCTGCTCTAATTCTATGGGCAATATTCCCCACAATCTCTCCCTAGTTATGCATCATTGAACCATTGTACCAAGAAAAATCACATTAAATTATCTCTTCGTTTCCAATATCAAGTGCAACTTGATTTTACAATCCTATTACTATTAAATTTACATATTATATATTTTGTTTTAGTCCTATAAAACTCCAAAATATCCCAATGAAAATTTTCCTCGTGTACAATAACAGGGCCCAGCTATATTATGCATTGCTGTTCCACGTAGCCCATGAGCAACAACTTTGCAACAATGACACCGTGATTGTTAACAGAGAAAATCCAAATACCTTTAGCCTAAGACGAGGACTTGAGTAGCTTCTTGTAATCATGGAAATTCCCTTTGAACGGTGCGACCTTGCCTTGTGATACTACCCACAGTTCTTCCACACTCTCGGATATTAAATGCTCATCGTGGCTAACCTGGAAAGGGGAAACTAAATCTTAGTGAAGGGTGTAAAAATGAACAGAATGAATGTACACTTTTTTCCCAATGGTTAGACAAAGTAACAAAACAATAGAAGGGGTGAATATATAAAGCAAAAGCATAATACCATGAGTACACCGCCTTGGAAGAGAACCAGACCTTGAATGAGTGCTTCTACAGCATCCAAATCCTGTATACGGAAATAAAAACTTATCTAATGAGCAGTCAAAATTTTAATTTACAAGAGTACAACTTTACAAAGAGTGTGAACCCACACGAAGCTTTTACAGTGTACTACCCTCCACCCAGAAAAAGTGTGCCAACTAAATACAAAGACGTGTATTTAAGTATTTAACAAAACAATTGCATGTCAAAAAATTATTGATAACTATTCTAAATTTTATTAAAATAACAATGAAAAAGAGTAATTAGTACAATATGCTTCGTAAAATCAGCTAAACCCCCATAGTGGCTAGCCTCGGTTAACCACCTCTTCAAAGATTCATTACATTCCTCCCCCCTTAGGACATCTGATTTCTCGCTGCCCTTTTGCAAATCCATTGGCGGATCATGACACCCACTTTTTTAGTCCCAAACTTTACTCGAGGGGCAGCCACCTTAAAATTTTATTAACCATTTTCAAAACAAAAATCTACAAAAATAAGGGAGCACATATCCCACCTTGCCCCTAATACCAAGAATACAAAGCACTCCACCATCTCAGGCCCACCCAAAAAAGAAAAAAAAAATACAACGAAAATGAACCACATACAACCTAGCTTGTTCTAAGAAGGATGATGGCAGTCATGTAACACTTGCTCTTAGCTCATTCATAATTTCTTTTATTTTTTTTTATAAACATAATCTCTTTTGTTTCCCTAATTGCAAGTCTGTACCTCCAAGGTCCCTAGGTGACACATTGACAACAATGGATTACACCAATATGGTATTTGATAACTGGATTAGTAGGCACTGAAAGTACAATTTGAAAAAGGTTCCAACTAAAAAGGACTTAAATCCAGGGGTAATGTTAGTGTATGTTAAAATGTTTTAGAAGTATAATAATGAAAATAATTAGAGGACAAGTTACTCAAATGGCTAAAGGAGCATTCTTTAATAGGAATCTTTTCTGCAATCCTCTTTCAGCACATCAGCTGTTTTCAAGCATCGCCTAAATCATAACATTATGGCAACCAACCAATCATCTAGGCAATATGAAAAAAATCATATAAACAAGAGCAGTTTTTCGTCTACTTAACTCCTAGATAGCAACACTTGACTGGATCGTCTGGACCCAGTAGAAACATTTACAAATGCAAGTGTAAGTTAAAACATATAATGTGCAAAGGGCAGGCAGGACTCTATGTTGGGTATTTCCCAAAAATGAAATAATCAGTAAAAGTACAAAATATAAGATACATCTCTGCCAGGTCATAAATGCAGGTTGTCCAAAAATGGTACAACCAGTACCAGTACAAACACAGTAAATACATCTATGGCAAATGTCATCTCCATTCAAATTATAGGAGGTTACTCACTGATAACTTTTGGTTACAGAATAACCAAGTCAGAAGTTGAATCAACCATACTTCATTTCTTAGCACTCATCTTTGCAAGAACCCTGAACTGTATCATGTCCAGTACCAAAGGCCTGGTTTGTTTGCAATGCAATTTCATTTGCACTAGTACAAAAGTATGGGAATGCAAATGATTTGAGTGTACATTATTTTTTTTTTCTTGCTTGAGATTTCACTGTCTGATTGTAATGTAGACAAAGCAAAACAAAACCTGAATGAAGTAAAGTTAAGTAAAACACAAAGAAAAAGTCAACCAGAATTTGCATTCTCGTACATTTGAACTAGTGAAATGAAATTGCACTGTAAAAAGAGTTTAAGGTATAGGGATAATGACATTTCATGGAAAACCAAGACTAGACAATTGTTTGGAAAATACAAAATAGGAGCTATATAACATCAAGTTCTTTTCTGCTAGGGAAAAGTACTGAGAAATCAGCTCTATAAAACTGACATAAGCACCAAGTCAAAAGCCAAGTCTCAAGTTCCATAATCCTTTAATAAAGGAGAAACAACAAAATACAGCAAGAAAGGCAAGCTACAACTCACAAGATGGTTCGATGGCTCATCAAGCAGAATGATATGTGGTTTTTTGAAAGTTATCTTTGCAAATGCAACTCTGCTTTTCTGACCACCTGAAATAACATTTTAGATCAGTACTAGGGTCATTATGGAACCCAAAATTTCAATGTTCAAAGAATCGCTATACAAACAGAATTTGCTTATGGAATTTGGATTGCAAAACTCAGATTTTAGTAAGATTAATAAATCAAGAAGTTGGACACTGACTCATCTGAATCAATTTTAAATTAAACTCCCTCCGTTTTAAGCTTGAACCATGGTTATTAATGCAAGTTTCCACTCTACAGGCACATCTAACATGCATGAAGATTATAAGATTTAGGTACCTGACAATATACATTGGCTGAAGAGCAAGATTTAGGTACCTGACAAAGTATACATTGGTTGAAGAGCAAGATTGCCTGTTACACCGAAGGAACCCAAGTGAGCTCGGAGCTTCTGCTCTGGCACTCCCTGCAAGGGCCAAACTATCTTAACAAATTCTGATACAATAATCACTCTGCTCATGTTTCGTGCAAACATAAGATCACTTGCTAAAATATTCATCAGTTAATAGAGTAAGCCACTCCAATTAGAACCTCTCCACAAATGGACAAAGAATTAAGAGCAGCATTTTGAAAGTAGTCCAGTTCCGGGGGTACTAACAAGTAGAATGTGCATGTTTTTAAGTGGTGTTTTAGACTCAAACCAGACCAGATGGTTGGACCATTAGACCCGGGAGGCCATTCCAATTTTTTAAAACCCCGGTTTTCAATTTTCTGGAAAACTAGTGGAACGGTCAAAACCAGGCAGAACCATTGAAAACCGGCTGGGTTTAACGCCCCAACCTGTTTCAATGGCCCACCCAGGTCAGTAAATGCTCAGAAACATAAAATGTTGATGGGAAGAGTCAAATTCGTTACTTGTTAAATACATGGACATTTGGGGCCAAAAACAAGAACTAACCACCCAGACAGCACGTTCAGACGTGATATAATTTATAAAACATATATATATTTATATATATAGCAATTATGTGACTCACGGTCAAACCGTTTGACCCACAACCTGGCAATCATTCCGGTTGTGTCTGGTCTGAGTCTTACAAAGGTTGATATTGTATTGACTAGTAGAATACTAACTAGCACAATTTCCATTTTAGTTCATAATGGTAGGATGCCAAGGGTCCATTACTTGGAGCAATGGTAAGATGCTGGGCTGACAACTGTGAAAATGCAGATTTGGCTCATGAGAATGGTCACTTTATGCTTGTTAGTGTCAACAGTACAGGGGTACTTTGGTCTTTTGGCTTATCTAGTTGAAAGTGAAAGGTCTTCTTTATTCAAGTTTAAGTTATGTGTCCCATCACTTATAAGGGACAATACTGTCTTTCTTGTAACTCAACCATTTACTACAAATACAAAGTGGGTCGGCTAGAGTGGGAGACTTTGACACTACTGCCGAACCCTTCTTTTCTTTCTTTCTTTCTTTCTTTCTTCTTCTTCTTCTTCTTCTTCTTCTGAACTGAATAAGATTGTTTTACATGGTATAAGAGCAAATATAACAAGTTCAGACCTGCTCTTTTTTTTCTGATTTACCCAGTTTTTTTATCGCCCTTTTCTCTAGGGTTTCACAGATTTCTCAAGAATCACTGGGAGATTAAAGGAAAGGCTGCAAAGGAGTGATCGTTTTTCTCTGTAGGAGGCCTTCATGCCTCCGCTTTGTGGTGCAGTGGTTGTTTGTGGTGATTGGTAGGAAGCTCTCTATTCGATGGTACGAAGAGAGCAGGTTCGGGTGGAGTAGTGTTCAGCCGGGTACAGGTTGGTTCTGTAGTGTGCAGTACAGGTGTTTGATTTGATGGCTGATTGATTACAGCTCTTGTATTAGGTGTGTGATGTGTATTTGAAGAAGTCAGTGGTGTTGAAAGTGAGTTAGGGTTTTGCGGTGGTGCATGGAGTTGTACTGAATAGTCAAAGGTGAATACCTTGTTTATAACAGTGATTTCTTTGTGAAGTGAGGTGAATTAGTTAAGATGGCATCAACTGGAGATGGGAATGACAATAAAACAGGTGTTGTGATTTCTCCAGATTACCTAAATGTTCAAATGACATCTATTAAGTTAAATGGTGAGAATTATGTGCCATGGGCCAAATCTGTGAAGGTGTTTTTAAAGGCCAAGAAAAAAGTAAAACATGTGAGAGAGGAGAAACCCTCCTCTGATTCTCTAGGATTCAGTGATTGGGAACAAGAGGATGCACAAATCATGGCTTGGTTGTGGAATGGCATGGAACCTAAAATCAGTGTGAATTTTATGTTCCTAGATACAACTAAAGAAATCTGGGACCATGTTAAGAAACTTTACTCCGGCCAAGATAATACTACTAGGATATATCAGTTGTGCCAAGATTACTTTAATCTAAAGCAAGGTAACTAAAGCTTAGAGAAATACTATGCAAGCATGAGGAATATCAGAAATGAGCTTTGTAATCATTCATGGAGAGTGGGAGACGAGAGAGAGAGAGAGAAAGAGAAGAAAAGGGAGATACGATTGAGAGGAAAAGAACAAAAACCACCACTGGCTGCCGCCAGTTCTCTATTTATATCAACTTAATAAAAAGAATAAAAATTACAAGTATGCCCCTGGCGGCATACCCTAGAACCAAACTAATAAGAAAAAAAAGAAAAGTAACTAACTGACAGTATCTTAAGAAGTCAGCCTACTAACAACAACTACAAAGTAACAATTAAATAAGACTTACAACACTCCCCCTCAAGTTGGGCTGAAAATGTCTATCATGCCCAGCTTGTCACATAACTCATTGTGCCGCGAGTATGAAAGCCCCTTTGTGAGGACATCAGCAAGTTGTTCCTTGGAGTTGACATAAGGGATGCAAATTTCCCTTTTTTCCAATTTTTCCCTTATGAAGTGTTTGTCCACCTCAATGTGCTTGGTCCTCTCATGTAGGACAAGGTTGTTGGCAATGTTTATTGCAGCCTTGTTG